GCCTTGGACGGCTTGATGCCCGCTGGGATGCGCAGCTTCGGCGTCGCCATGTCCTCGGCGAGAAGGTCGATGTAGGTCATCAGGCCAATGGCGACGATGGGCGCGAAGTCGGCGAGGAGCGTGCGTAGCGACGCCATGAGGTACTTCGACTTGCGGAAGGAGCGGAGCGCCATCAGCATCACGAAGGTGCCGAGGCCGAGGAGGAGGGACCTACGCACCAGTCAGCCCCCTCGCTAGTCTGCTCCGCGCTGTGGCGGTGCCGGGGCGGAGGAGGAGGAGGGACATGAGGGTCGACGCGTCGTGAATCGCGTCCTTGAGAGTGTCGAGGCAGGGCTGTCCCTCGATGCAGGTGTCGTAGTCCTTCTTGAAGGGGTAGAGCAGCGCCTTGCAAGCCTCGTAGATGAAGATCGACGAGATGAGCGCCTGCGCGAGTCGGCGGGGGGGCGGGGCGGGGCTGTGGGGGCGGGGGGGCGGAGCCGGCAGCGGGCGCACACCAAGGTGCAGCCGCGGGGGGCAGTGTCTAGGAAGGGACGGGGGAGGAGGTGCGGGGAGAGGAGGGTGGGGCAGGGCGGGCTCGCACCGCAAAGATCTCGTCGGTGAAGCGCGTGATGTACTTGATGAGGTAGCACATGTCCGTGACGGCGCAGAGGCCGAGGATGATCGAGATCCAGACGCCGGTCCAGAGGCGGGCCACGAGGAAGGGGACTCCGAGGTAGCCCTCGGCCGCCTGTGCGCGGGGGGCGGTGAGGGAGGGCGGCGAGCGCGAGTGCCGCGCCGAGGTGCGCGGGAGGCGTCGGCGGGGGCGCGCGCTGGGCGGGTGGTGCGCGCCTTGTGCATGATGGACTCGAAGATGGCGACCGGCCCGGTTCCGCCGAGGATGAGGAGGGGCTGACCGGCGAAGAGGGCGAAGAGGGTGCCGCAGATGAAGGTGGAGGCGATCACCTCGATGGCGCCCATGTCGCCGTGCGTGAACTTCTCGAGCAGCGCGCCGAAGGCGATGGCGGGCGCGAGGCATGCGAAGTAGAGCAGCACGGTCGCGGAGATGGTCTTGGTTTGGAAGCCGTCGGTCCTGTGCGCGGGCGCCGCGGCGTGGGTGTGTGGTGGGCCGGCGCGGCGGCGGGGCGCACGGAGGGAGGCGGTCGGAGGGGTGGGCCGGTGGGCCCTCGCGCTGCGGCGCGCGCCAGTCCGAAACGTAGACGCGCGCCCGCTTCTTGATGTCGGCCATCAGGCCGCCGCACAGCTTGCCCGAGAAGGTGATCTCCGACTCCTCGCGCAGCTCGCGCTCCTTGATGGCCAGCGCGGTGTTGACTCGCGCGAGCGGAACGGTCATCTCGCCGTTGCCAACCTCGCCCGGCGGATCCTTGCCGCGGTTGGCATTGAGGGCGCGGTGCAGCGCCTTGTTGGCGGCAGACGTGGCGGACATGGCGAGCTTGAGCGCCTCGTCCGCCTCGCGCCGAGCCAGCGCGTCAGCCTTGCTCTCCTTCTTTGACGGCGGGTACTCCGTTGCCGCCCGCATCTCGCCGGACGCTGGAGTGGTGTCCACCACCACCTCGGGCGCAGCCTCCTCCTCCAGCGCCTCGGCGTACTTGGGAACGGGCTCGTTGGAAGCCATCTGTGACCTGCGACAAGGCAAGGCGCGGGAGAGGCGCTCGAGCGGCAGCGGGTGATATTTCTCCCTTGTGGGCAAGGCGCGCCTCTGCAGTCCTACACCCTACACCTGTGTCGACCCTGTGGTCGAGCTCGTAAAACTCTGCGACGGTCTGGACTCAGGCGCCGTTCGCACTTCTCTCGAGGTTCTCGAGGTGGATATCCTTTGGCCGCGTTGGGTAGCGAGGATTGGTGTGACGCGATCCACGCAGGCGTGTTTTCTGACGGCCGACCGTCAGCGCACGGAGTTGCCCCTTCTCCGACTGCCTGCCCCGGCTAGTTCCCGAGGTCGTCGGGTGTGACCCCTGCGTCCCCCGAGACCTAGCGCGGGTGGGTTGGAGGGGGCTCGCTGCAAGGAAAGGCGGTGTAAGAAGCCGATCCCCGTAGTCCGCCCCGCCCCTCCCCATCGGGCCGCATGAGCGGCCGCGCCTCGCAGATTCGTTTCTCGCGCCTGGGTCAGGCGCGCGGGGCATCCCCCGGGTCGCTCGACCAGCGATCCGAAGAGTGGCCGCTATGTGAGGGAAAGAGCGGGGCCCTCGACGCCTCAGTCCGGCCCTCCGAGGGGGGGAGGGAATTGCGGGGTTCCCACGGGCGCCTCTCTTCGGCCCTCCCGAGGGGGGGAGGGGAGCAAGGGGGTGGGGGGGGTCGGGGCGGTGGGGAGGTTCGCACGTGTAATCGTGAGCACTTGAGCACTGGATAGGGTCGATTCCGCATGGTACGGGACCCTTCGAACGAGGAGGGAACGAGGAGGGCAGCAGCGACGTAGCAGGGTTTCTGAGCAAAGGTTGCCACAATTCGTTATCCCAGTGAATGCCGTGGCGTTGTGATCTTGTGAACTGTCTGATATCCGGTGCCAAATGGAAGTGCCGTCAGAAGGCTCACACCTTTTGCAGAGGTGTTTTCTTCTTCTAACTCTCTCTTCAAGGTCTATGAACTAGCTAGGCCCTATGGCGGGGGCATCATCTCGGAGCACTTTTGGAGTGCGGTCATTAACCTCACACCCAGGGCCGGGGAGCTATGTGTATGAAGCGCACCCAGCGGGCCGGGGATGATCGGGATCAGGCTGCGGGCTAGAGAGCCCTGACCCTGGGGGTGCGCGTTCGCAGGGAGGGGGCCGTAAAGTAAACACGGGTCTCCGAGGGTTGTACCGGGTTTCCCCTAGCGACGGAACTGTCTGTGTATTTTCTTTCTTTAACAAGTCCGCGATAAAATTCTCAAGGGGTGCCTGTGTTCTCTAGTACCAGCACGTGCCAGTCCGCGCCGGTGTCGAGCCTGGTCTGCTGTGAGAGAGAGTTGTCTTGTTTAAATTCTTAACAAGGTCTGTGCCCCCCCACACACACACCACACCCATCCAGGGCTCGCACCTCAACCTCTCATTGACCAGCGCGCAGCGCCATAGGAGGTATCTTCTTCTCAATAACAAAGTCTGTAAAAAAGTTTTGTCGTTTGTCGTGAAAAACGAAGCAACGATCAACTCCCGTGCGCCGGACGTGCCGGAGGCCTCGGTCCTAGCCTCGGTCTCCCCTCTGCCCGCGTGCGATTTTCGCTAACTCCCTCGAGCGTAGACCGTCTCTCATCGACGCGCTTGAGCACGTTTGGCACCAAGAGGCTTTGATTCTTACGACCCTCACCCGCCAACCAAGGCAGGTTTGCACTCTACTAATTACTTGTCTCTTGTGTGTGTGCTCACTCACACCACTACACTGTGGGGGGTGCCCGAGCATGACGTATGTGCGCGTCTGTGCGTGTGTGGGACAGACGTTGTTGTCCTATGCGCGGGGCTTCCCGCCCGCGGGGACCGAAGAGCACCGCCGCCGCCGCCGCCGTTTGTCCCTATCATAAAAAGTAGCAGCCCAAAATCGCGGCGCCCCACTTCGATTTGGTCGATTTGGCGGCCCCCCGACCGCGCCCGCCCCTGCCTCCCGGGGGCCCGGCCGACCATGCCAGCCGGCGCCCGGCCGGCCGGCGGGCCCAACCCGAAGCGCCCGGCCGCTCGGCGGCGCCGTTCGGCCGACGGGGCCAGCCGTGCGGCGCCCGGTCGCCCGCCGCAGGACCGAGCCCGACCGGCCCACGCGCACGGCCTGGCCTCGATCGCCACTCTCTGCGGCGGAAGCAGCACCGTCGGCGCCCTCTGGATCCTCCTGGCACTCCTCGGCTTCCTCCCGACGGTCGGCGGCACCAACCCCGTGCGCTTTGAGTCACACTCGATCCTCGGCATGCGCATTCAGAGCCGCTCCGACTTCCCCACAACTGGACAGTACCTTGCGTATCAGCGGGACACGTACACGAATGTGACCGGCCGGGATCTGCAGCTCGAGGGGGGAAGCACGACTTCCCTCTTCAAAACCATGAGCGAGACACTCGACCTCGCCCGTACCAACATCGCGAGCGGCGTCAAGGAGGACGATTTGAAGCCGATCAAAGACCTGCTAAAGATGGCGGACCGTAGTCCGACGGACGTCGCCCAGACGTACATGCACGACCCGGCCATGACGAACACGACCGCCCTCATCAAGGGAACGAGCTACCTCAGGAAATATGTCTTGAAGGCAACAGAACACTCCGGCCGCTTCGTTCTCAACGACAGCGCTCGCACAAGGCCGTCCTCATGGCGGAGGTGCGATGACGTATTAGACTACATTTGGAGGCAGGAAATGTTGCTGCAGGACAAGACTTCAAAGATCGAGAAGCTGCAACAACTCCTACACAGTGAAAGGCAACGCACGGAGCTACTGATTGGAGCAGTTTTGGTATGCGTCTTCCTCCTCTCTTTCCTGAAAGCGTTGCGGGATTGGCTTCTGCCGCGGATCCATGGCGAGGTGCAAGGCGTGCCTGTCAGAGCAATCAGAGGGGTGGCCGTTCCCGCAGCACGACTGGTTCGAGTTCCAGTTGTTGTCGACGCCGAGACGGTTGACAACTTCACGGCTTGCCTTCTTATAGAGAGAGTTGAGAGAGAGATTTTTAGGAGGCCAATGGTCCACAATTCACAACGCTTCCAATATTGTGTACCAGAGAGATAGGTGTGAGAGCTGTGGGAGCGGCCTCTTCAACTGAGCCAGTTGGTTAGAGGCGTGTGTGTGAGTGAGTGGTTGCTACTTTCAACGATCGGCGTCGTGTTGCTCCCAACACTACCCGTCGCAAAACACTTGCCGTTTGCGTCGCTGGCACTAGACGCGCCACGCCCTGGAGGGCGGGGCCCGGCGCCACATGGCGCCGGCCAAACCGTCTAGTCGTGTGAAAAACATCGCAATCTGTAACGGTCTCTTCGATCAGGTGTGTCGGCACCGCGCGATGGCGACCAGCATCGAGTCGGTCCTCGCGCGGCGCGCGCTGGCGCGGGTCGAGCCCAACCGGCACCCAGGCGAGCGCGCAGGCGACATCAACTTCGCACCGCTCGCCGAGCCGGTATTGCGAGTCGCGCACGGCCGCCGCGCAATGTGCCGTCACCCGGCTCTCTCCGGGCCCGAGTTTGAGCACGGGCTGCCGCTGGAGCGCAGCGCGCCGTGCAAGCGTCGCGTGCTACACATCGCGCCCTCTCGCGGCCCCTCTCTGCCGACGGAGCCGCCGCAGGTGGTGCGGTGCAAGAGGGCGGATGCTGGTGCTCGCAGGAGGGAGTCGGTGGCAATGCTCCCGGTGCCCCGAGCGGCCGCGACCTCGCCCTCGGTGCCGGATGCGTCGGAAGGGCTGCTCATCGCAACGCCAATGCCGATCGGGACGGCCGCCGCGTCGGAGCGCGTCAAGCACGGGAGCGGCCTCCGGAGGAGAGCGGGACGGCCATTACGGCGGGCCGGTCACCCCGACGCGCAATCGGCGGAGGTGGAGCGGGCGCGCGAGTGGAGCCCCGAGGTGGAGGACGCCTTTCGCCTCGCGGAGGCGGGATACCGCAACCTGGATCACCTGGCCGTGCTTTGCGGCGGGGAGCCCGAGCGATGGCCGAATGGGTTTATCAAGAAGCTGAGGTGCGCCGCCTCCCTCGGCCGGCCCGCCTCGTACCTCTACTTTCCGTCGCGGCGCGAGTGCTCAGACGCTGTGCTGCACACAGTGAAGCTCTACCGCCGCCGCGCAGAGACGGCGGAGGACTGTTCACAGGGGTGAGAAAGAAGGGTCGGGCAGGGCCAGAGGCGCCGGCGTGTGAACGCCGCACGCTCGGCTCTGGGTGAATCCAGTTGGGATGCATCAAATCAAGTAGGAAGCCGCCGGATGTAAGTGGGGCGGGTTTGCTGCTGCGGGGTCCCCCGCTGTCGCCCGGGGTCGTGCGAGGGGTGGGCACGACCAGTAGGGACCCCCTCCCCCGGGCCCCGCTCTCAGTTGGGGCCTCCGCGCGGCCGAGTGGGAGATATTGGATGGGAAACGGGTCGATTTGCAAAGTGGGGCGCCGGGCCAGGCCGGGCCCGGCTCGGGCCCCTGCCGGGCCCGGCTCGGACCCGTGCCGGGCCCGGCCCGCGCGCCCTGCCGGGCCCGGCTTGCCCCTCCCGGGCCCGGCCCGCGCGCTGCTTGCCGGGCCCGGCTTGCCACTCTCCCGGGCCGAAGCGCCCAAACCAGCAGGTCGAGGAGCGAGGCGGGCCCGGCGAGGAGAAACCGGCCCGGCAAACCGTCCTGCCCGGGCCCGTCTGCGGCACATAGGCCGGCCCGCTCACTCACAGCCGCCCGGACAGGAGGGTTTGCCGGGCCCGTTTTGCGCGAGCGCGAGGCGGGCCCGGCGAGGAGAAAACCGGCCCGGCAAAAGCACGCTCGGCGGCCCGGGAGCGGCCACTTTTGACCCGGCCGGGGCCTGCCGGTGCCCCTGCCGGACACGGGACCCCGCCCCTTGCGTCCGGCGCCGAGTGGAATTCCTATTCGGGTATCCGGCGGCTTCAGTTTCAGCCTCCTCTCTCCTCTCCTCTCTCCTCTCCTGCTGAAGAGACCTTTAATGTCTAATGTCGCACAGCTTTCGTACGCGCGCCGCGACCATTGCCGGCGGCGCCGTTGCCACGTACTTCACTGCTCGGTACGTTGAGGAGTCACTCTCGTTTGAGCGCATCGACGCATGCCTGGGCATCCACCAGCGCTTCGAGGAGAACGCGTGCTGAGTTGCCACTCATTCGCTGCCAAAATGCCCATCGAGCGCTGCTGCCGTTGCTCCGACGTTGCTGTCCCAGCTCAAGCGAGAGAATGCAGACAACATCCGGCTCGCGGTTGCTGCTGCGCTGTCCGAGGCGTCTTCAGATGACGACGCAGCCGTCTACCGTGTGACGAGGCAGCTGTCGACTGTTGGCGCAAGCTCTGGCGACGGCGCGTTCGTTCAGGGCTGCTGCCCGCGCGGAGCGATCGTCTGCTTCTACCACGGCCCTGTGTACGGCCCCTTAGTTGGACGCGTGAAGCTGATGCTCACAGACCCGGGCTCCGCCCACGCACTCGGCATTCCCGCCCCGCAGCTCGCGCCGATCGCCCGCTTTTAACCCACCTGTAACCTCTCAACTTAATTCCTAGTCATGCCGGATGGCTACATCATCAACGGCAAGACGTCGGGCGCGACTTCGGACGGATCGGATGAGAGCACGCTGCTCGCCGGCCCATTGTGCCAGCACCCGCCAAAGGGGAGGCAGCCAAACGTGATGTTTTATCCTGCTGTGTGCGACGTGGCGGCGATGCCGGCCGCGGCGGCTGCCTCGATCGACAAGGTGGCCTGGTATGACACGGCGCCGCTCACGTTTGACGCGCGGCAGGAGACGCGCACCATGGTGCTGGTGGCGCTTCGCGACATCACCGACGAGGAGCTGTTCGTTGACTACAGGTACATGCCTGGAGACAACCTCCCGAAGTGGTACTCGCCGGTGGCGAGGGAGGGAGAGGTCCCGCAGGAGAAGTGGGACCCGCCCCGACCCAACTTTGACTGGTTCATACACGCATGAGAGGTCGCGTGTTGGCCGGCGGGCGAGGGCTAGTTATTTAACGGCTTAGTTATTTAAATGCATACGTCGTGCGTGTGAGCGGTATCTCTCGCCATAGGCATAGCCGACACTCCCTTTCCCCTGCGCGCCTGTGGGGTCTCTCTTCTGTGGCGCGCGCGCGCTGTGTCATACTCTCCCCGGAGGAGCCCGGTGTTGTGCGCGCGATATACGCGCGCTACCGAGCCCCTGGGGCGTGGGGGCTGGGGGGTGGGGCGTGGGGGGGCTGGGGGCTGGGGGGGCCTTTTCCCGGCGGCTCGATACTTCTACACCTCGGCGATCGGTGAGGTTAGAGAGATAGAGCTCGCCGTAACACAGCTAACACCCGACACCCCCCATAAATCAATTATATATCTCTTATCTATCTCCGCTCCGGCTTCCGCCTAGCGCCTGCCTCCTCTCCACCCGCCGGGGCCGGGGGCGGGGCCCGGGGGCGGGATGCACAAACGACAAAAAAGCATTCTATCTTTCGTCTGGGACCATGTGGAAGACGGCTAGTGCTAGTCCCCGCCCATCGGGAGGACGACCCCGGCTAGTCGCCGACCACACACCCACAAAGAACCCTGCACAAAGACCGCAGGGGCCAGGGCGGGGACCTGTTCCTTTTTACCCATCTCCTAGTAGAGGTGTCCGTTTTATTTATTTTATTTATTCGTCTAACGAAGAAAAAACTCGCACACCTGCGCCCTCTCTCCCCTAGGCCTAGCCCTACGCTAGGCCCCGGTCACCTCTTTGGTCGCTCGTGATAGGGCGTCCACCTCAACTTGGTCGAGTCGATGATCCAGTTTGGCTTTGCGTTAGTGTAGTGCTGCTCGAGCGTCTTCGGCGTGACGAGGATCGAGTGCTGCCCTCCAAAGTAGCGGATCAGGTTGAAGGCCTGCAGCGTCTTGACGATGTCATCGGTGCGGAAGGCGGTCCGCTCGGACAGCTCCTGCACCGAGATGGAGCCGCGGTGCTTGTGCAGGATCTCGAGCAGCGCGTACACCCAGTAGGAGCGGTACGAGACCAGGCCGAGGTCAGAGATGGGCCGCTCGGGCGTGCCCATCTTGCTCTCGCGGCGCGAGAGCTCGTACGAGAAGGCGATCATCAGCTTGCCTGTCCACAGCCAGACCCGTGAAGAGGCGCCGTCCACAGCAGCTCGCGCGGGAGGGCGACCGTCGGCTCGCCGTAGCCGCGCCGCTGGTAGCAGGGGAGGGTGAGGATACAGGCAAGGTTGTACTCGCCTCCGCCCTCGGCGAGCGAGGGCACCTTCTCCTTTGAAAAGTAGCCGACCATGTGGGCGCCGTCCGAGTCGACCTGCGGGGGAGAGGGGTGGGAGGGGGGTGGGGAGGGGGGTGGGTTGTGGCGTGTGGGTGTGGGCTGGGGTGTGGGAAGGGATGGCGGAGACGGGCAGAGGGGCGGGGATTGGTGTCGGTCGGGCGGCCTCGGTGATGATGTAGAAGAGGAAGGGCTCGACGTCGTAGTAGAGGGTCTTGTGGTCGAGGAAGAGCTTTGCGAGCAGGCAGAGGTTCTCGCAGTAGGCACGCTGGTACTGCGGGTCAACCTGCACGCCCCCCGGGGGGAGGGGGGGGGAGGGGAAAGGGTTCGGGGAAAGGGGTCGGGGAAAGGGGTCGGGGAAGGCGGGCCGGGGGCGCGGGAGGGGCGTGGTGGGCAGGGCGGTGTGTGTGTGTGTGTGTCTCGCCTCGAAGATGGCGATGTTGTGCTCCTCTCCGTTGATGACCTTTGTCTCTCGGTATATCTCGTCGCCGGGCGGGTGGAAGTAGCGGCACTTGGTCTGGATGTACCGGTCGAGCTGCGCGGCGGCGGGGCGGGGAGGGGGTGGGCGGGGAGGGGGTGGGCGGGGAGGGGGTGGGCGGGAGGGGATGGGCGGGAGGGGCGAGTGAGGGCGTGTGGCGCGTAGAGGCAAGGAGGGAGGGGGTGGTGCGGCGCCTGCTCGCGTCTGGCGAAGAAGTTGAGGTCGTACTCGCAGATGTAGAGCATCTCGCTCTTGGAGTACTCCTTCGGGAAGGGCGAGAAGTACCACGTCTCCATCTTCCACTTGCCCATCACGATCCGCGAGATGTTTTTGACCTTTGTCGCCTCCTCGTGCTCCTTGAGGGTGGCGAGGTCGAGCTCGCCCTCCTCCTCGTGCTCCTGACACGCGCACACGCGCACACGGGCAGCCGCGTCAGACACGCACCGCCCGCTCGCACGCCAGCCATCGCCCTGCCCTCGCCCGGCCGCGGTCACTATCCTCTCCACACGCCATCCTCTCCACACGCCGCGCTCGAGCGTCTCCCGCGCCACACCCCCGCGACGCGCCTCGTGCTCGTGCTTGCGCTTGTTGGTCGAGTTGCGCGTGACCTTGCCGTCGTCATTGACGGAGCCCAGGTCGAACCGCTCCAGCCCAACCCACTCGTCCAGCCGCCGGTTGAGGCCCTCGTAGTGCACATCTGGGGGCGGGGGGGGGGGGGCTCCGCGTCGAGCGGCCGAGGACGCGGCGCGCGCGCTGGAGCCGCAGGGAGAGAGCTGCGCGCGGGCGGGTGTTGCGATTTCGCGCGCGCGTGGCGGTGCTGTCCGCACAGTATTCCCACTCGCCGCTTGGGTCGGTCGTGCCGTCTGGGAGCGACTTTTGCTTCCGCTCAATGATCTCGCACGACTTGTACTCCTCGCCGCGCCAACGGCACATCAGCTTGGCGCCAAGCTCCAGCGGCACCCGCATCGGGCCTTTTGGGACTCCCATCCTGGAATGTCACTCGCGACTCGCCAACGCGCCGGCGCAACACGTTCAGTGGAAGAAAAACCGAGCCGATCACCTTTTCCCTCTAGCGCATCACACACCTCTCCTTAAAATCCCTGTGTGGTGGCGGCGTGCCGTCCTCCCCTCCCTCCCTTGGGTTGTCTGTTTTCTTTCTTTCTTCCCCCCCCTCTCGCTTTTGCAAAATCCTGCAAAGGTGGGGACGTGTCTGTCCTCGACCCAGCCCTACCTGGTATGTGCCTTTTCTTTCTTTCAGCACTCCCGGAAGACGGAAGAAAAAACCTGCCGCCAGGGCCCCCGTGTTTCTTCTTTCTCGCACATCAACGCACCCTCTGTTCTCTTATCATACAATCGGATCTACTCAGAGACTTCGTGAACTGTCAACTGAAGTGCGACCCATTCGCATTGAGATGTAGATAAAGTGCACGCCAAAAAAGGGAGTCGCTGACATCTACACCGGGTTCAATCTAGATCTACGTTGTGTAGCTCGCTCGTACCGTAGAGCTCCTGGATTATACCTGGTGGTACCGAGGCGTACCACAGTACCACCCTCGCCCAGGGACCTGTGGGCACTGCCTGCGCTCGGCACCGGGCACCGCCTCGGTACACAAAATGCGCCTGCGGGCGGACCCTCACAAACGACAAAGATCACAGATCACAGAACGTCGTCCAGGGGGAGAACGCCAACCACTCATCGCGGCCCCATGCGCATCACACATCATCAGTTCAGCAACCGCGCCGCCGCCCTCCGCGCCTCCGCCTTTGGCGTTCTCCTGCACCGCGCGATCCAGCCGAGCAGCCCCGCAATCGCCGCGCGGAGCAGCGAGAAGGGCGAGCTCTGCTCGCCGTCCCAGCTGCTGCTCGCGCGGCGCCGCGCGACGCCCGTCGGCGGCAGCGCCGCGTCGAGCGGGAAGCGGCCGCGCCACTCGCCCGGCCTGCGGCCGGCCGGCGTGAACTTCTTGCCGAGGGTGCGCACGAAGCGGTCGCCGTAGTAGGGGGGCGGCTCGGTCGACTTGTGCTTGTAGGGCGGCCGCTCCATGCACTTGAGGCAGCGGGCGGCGCGCTTGGAGAGCGTCCACTCCTGCAGGTAGTCGATGATCCCCGCCTCGACCAGCCACACCGTCCCGTCGGCCAGCTCCGTCGCGAGGCTCGGCCGGCCCGAGCTGCTCGCCGCCGCCGCCGCCGCCGCCGCCGCCTCGTGCGCTGCGGCGAGGGCGGGGTCGGCGGCGGCGCCGGGCGGCGGCAGGCGGTAGGTGCGCACCAGCAGCGAGTAGTCCATCAAATTGTGCCTCCGGAGGAAGGCGGCGTCCGACTCGAGCCTCGCGCACATCCACGCGCACGCGGGCGCCGTGAGCGGAAAGCGCACGTCGCGCGCGTGCTGCTTCCCCGCCGCGTACTGCCGCCGGCCCGGCGCCCACGCGTCCGCCGCGACGTCCGCCGCCGCCGCGAACGGACTGCAGCACTTCCGCGACGCCAGGTCGCACACCCGCATGCCCACATTAAAAAATCGCTTGTGCACGTCGCGCCGCTTCTCGCCCTCGTACAGCAGCGTCTTGTCGTCGGCGGTGCCCTTGAGGTCGTAGACGCTCGGCGCACTCGCGGCGGCCACCGCCGCCACGGGCGCCGGCAGCACCGAGCCCATGGCCACGTAGTGCACTCCGGTGGACGGCCGGTGAAAGTGAGCGAAAAAGGGCGCGAGCAGCGTGTCCCTGTGGCGAGTGGCGTGCACCACGTACGCGGGCGCGAGCCGGAGCAGCGCCTCGTGGTCCGACGGCGACAGCTCCTTCACCACGAAGGCTTTGCCGCGGCACTTGTGAAAGGCGAGCAACGTGCCTCCTTTCCCTCCGCCGGCCGCCAGCGCGGCCCAGTCAAAGCCGTCGAGGAAGTCGTCCTGCACATCGGACAAGGACCGAAGCAGCGCCAGGTCGGCCTCCGAGGCGTGGGTGGGGCACAGCTCGCCGCCGACGCAGATGTGCGGCACGAAGCGTGCGCGACTGCATCGCGACTGCTCCTGCATCCTCGCCCTGAGGGAAAGAAGAAATTCCGGTCCCCTCTTGCCCGCAACCCGATCCCGATCATCCGGCCCGCTGGGTGCGCTCCTCAGCTCCCCGGCCCTGGGTGTGAGGCTGATGACTGGTTGACTGCACTCCAAGACCAAGTGCTCCAAGTGCTGTCTGAAGCCGTCACAACTGGCCCCTTAAAATAAGATGAGATTGCCAGATGAGAATGGGGGGAAGGACAGGCGGGCGACATTTGACGACGTAGCTCGTAGGGGGCCACAATGTGACGACCAAAACGATCTTGGGGGCCAGGGTGAGACAACAGGTCGGGGTGCCACATGGGGCACACCACAGGCGTATTCTAGAGGGGGAAAAGAAACGGGGAATGAGGGGCCCCGCCACGAGGAGTGCGTTTTGGGGATGCAGAGCGTGCAAGCGAAGGCGGCTAGGGATGAGGCCGCAAAAGAGGCGCGCGAGGCAAGGAGGAGACGCGGGGAACTGAGAGACTGGGACGACTGGAAACAAGAAGACAGCGAGCCACCACAGGCGTCGTTGGCGCACATACTGAGCGGCAGCTGCGCTGGAAATAAGGAAGAGGCGCGTTACTTCATGCGAAAGCTTGACAAACACGCGGCGAGGGCGGCAGCAAGAGTTGAACGGGCGGCGCCTGACTCAAAAGACACAGCTATATTCCTGAGACGCGCGAGGGCAGCTCCTTAAAGGCAATGGGGTCTAGATTTGGAGCGCTCGCCGAAGAGGAGTACGACAAAATAGCGCCCGTGATTGCCTGCATGCACGCTGCCCGCACTCACGGACTCCATACCCGAAAGAAAGAGAGGGGAGCTCGCAGGAGAGGTGACGAGTGAACTGCAGGTAGTGGGGAAGGCAGCCTCGATCGCCATGCAGACATGGATGCGAAACAACGACAAGACCAAACAAATCTAACACTCACACGTCATTTGGGGCCTGGAGCCCTGTTCACGCGCGCGCGAGACGTGCAGACAGGGTTGCCAGGTGAGAGCGAATGGCGCGGTTCACGCCTCGCACAACAGAGATCTCTCTCTCAAGACCAAGGCACGGCAGAGGAGAGAGAGAAGAATATAGGGTGGATAAAGCGTCTGTTCACAGCATGGAGGGTGAGCCACGCCGAACGTACCGAACGTAGAGCCGAGCGGAAGGAAGCCGGGGAAGACGACTCCGAGGAGGACGAACCAGTGGAAATCCCGTATCCGTGAAGGAAGGCTCGTGCGTCCATTTTGGGAACAGAATCGCGCCAAAGCTCGAGGAGTTCCCTCTGCTATGGAAAACGCAACCTGCTACAGCCAGAGCTGCGTGCCGCCGCCGCCGTCGGCTGCGCCCTCGACGAGCGGCAATCGGTGCCTCACCTCGCTGCCCTTCACGTCTCAGGCTGCGTGCTGCGACGCCTGCGCCAATACGCTCGGCTGCCTGGGGTTCAGCGTGATACGCCAGCCGTTGACCACCAAAGGCAGCCATTTCGCGAGTAAAAGACTCTCGAACCGCCGATCGTGCTGCCTGCAGCGCTTCTTTGCAGAGGCGTGCTCTCTCGGCGACGACGGCGGTCAGCACGAGCGCTCGGGCCAGCTCCTGAGCGCGCCCTGCACCGCAAGGTGCCTCCTGCCAGCCATCGCGGGCGCCAGCAGCAGCGAGCGTGTGAGCCTCGACGATGTGCCGTGGCTGGCGCCGTCCCTGTGGCGGGCGGGCTCGCCAGAGGCGCCTCCCGACGCAGCGGCGCGGAGCCGCCGGGCTATTCGCGTCGCCGTCTGCCTCGCCGGCCAGGCGCGCACCTTTGCACATCCAGCGGTGTGGCGCTCGGTGCGGGAGCACCTCCTGGAGGACGGCCGGCACGAACTCTTCCTCGTCCTCGCGACGGGCTCCCTCACGGCGGCGGCCGCCTCGGGGTGGAACGACCAGCGGGTCACATCGCCGTGCGAGCTGCGCGACGCGCTCGAGGCGCTCGCACCGCGCGCGACCAGGCTGGTGGTGGACGACTTCTCGCCGCCCGCCGCCTGCGGCAGCGCGCCAAAGACGACCCGCCAGTTCCAGAAGTGGGCCGCCTGCGCCGAGCTGGTAGAGCGGCACGAGGCGGCGACGGGCGGTGCCTACGACTACATCTTCCGCTCGCGCCCGGACGTGCTCTGGCGAGCGAGCCCGCGGGTCGAGCGGCTGGCTCGAGGTCTCGCCGGCGAGGACGTCGTCCTCACCGCAAACGACCGCCACCTCCTCATCCACCGCTCGCGCTGGGGCGTGCTCCGCGCGATGCGCGAGATGGAGTGCCACGCCGCGTGCCGCCTGTCCAACCGCTCTGCTGCCCCGTGGAACGAGTGGCGCAGCAGCCGCCCGCGGCACGGGCCGAACGAGTACTGCCTCCTCCTCGCGCACCTCGCCACGCACGGCATCAGGCAGGTGGAGGCCGCCCTGCCTCCGCCCTGCACCCCACGGCAGCGGTTCGCCCGCCGCCCCGCCCGTCACCGCCGCCGTGATGCTGCCGCTCCTGGGCCGCAGGTGGAGGCGGCGCACCCGCGCGATGAGTGCGTCCTGCACTACTCCTCCTCGAGCCCAGTGACGGCAGCCCTCCGCTCGAGCGCAGGGCCGAGCGAGACCCACCGCATCTCGCGCTGGCGTTATCCGCTGCTCGGGGCCCCGGAAGGCGCGGCCAAATACATGTCCGACGCCTCGGTGCCAAACAAGTGGCGCGCACCGTCGACGGGCGTCCGTCGGCCGAGCTGCACGGCGCCGCCCCTCCGCTGCGAGTACTGCGCCGCAGTCGAGCCGGCCGCCAGCCCAGACCAGCCGCATCCATGCCCGCCGGCGGTCGATCTGCCCGCCCTGGCGCCGAAGCAGGCGGTCCCGCCGCCACGTGGCAGCGAGTGCCCGGAGCAGACGCCAAAGGCGGGCAGCGTCTTCTGGCCGCAAAGGCGCTTCCGGCAGGGTGCTTGGAGCGGATCTAACCCGTGGGCGTGGGTCGACTATCCGGTTCGCACCGAGTTCAACTACTCGCGCCTCTCGCACACCGCCATCAAGGGGCACCTGGCGGCAGGGCGCTGGATGACCCCGCTCTAATACCGTGCTAGACATATTGTGGCTCAGCGCTGTCTCTCAGAAGCAAAGCGAGACGAGTCGCTTGGCGCAGCAAGAACTATGCCGTTGTGAGAGACCGAGTGAGACGAGGAGCGCCGCTCGCTTGTTCACCGTGAGGCGAGTGTGAGACTCTGTGACGAGACGCTGCGCTGAGCTGCCAGGGCGCGCCCGTCAATGGGCTCTTCTTTTTTCCCTCTTCCTTTTCCAAGCCGCGCTTTCGGTAATTCTTCCCGATAAACTCTCCCGCCGGCTCCCACCTGCCGCCGCCACTGCAGCATCTCGGGCGTCCCGCCGATGCAGCGTTGGTGCGCTCTGGGTAAAGCAGCTCAGAAGAGGTTGACGCCGGCACAAAAGGCTCAGAGCAAGCGGCTTCAATCGGAGTACGTCAAGTCCGTGCGCGACAAAAACGAGGCCGCTGGGCTGCGCCGAGACGGAACCGCTGAGTCGAGCTCTTCTTTAGCCTCTCTCGTGCGCCTCGAGGCGGGGGCGCGGCGGCCGGTGGCGGACGCCGCGGCGGCGCTCACGGCGCTGCGCGAGCTGCTCGCGTCTGGCAGCAACGGGTGGGGCAACATGGCGGCGCGGCTGCTCGCGGGCGGCTGCACCGATTCGTATGAGGCTGCGTGCGAGGCGCTCGTGCGCGCTCGCCAGGGGTCCATCCTGCGCGCGCTGCGGCTGGCGCAACTCGAGGTTGCACGGCTGCTGCGGCGCGGCGTCGCGGAGGAGCCGCTGTCGCGCGAGGCGCTGCTCGCGCATCCGGCCGTCGCGGCCCTGCACGGGACGCTGGCGAAGCTCGATGGGCTCGAGGCGAACGGCTCGCTATACGGCATGTTCGCGGGCCGCTTCGACCGCGACGAAGGCGGGCTGGTGCTGGCGCAGCGCGCCGCCGCCGTCGCGCTGCAGTGGCAGCTCCGCGCGGCGGCGCTCGAGGCGCTCGTCTGCGAGGCGCAGCAGCCGGTGGACGGCGCCGCGGCAGCGCTCACGGCGCTGAGCGAGCTGCTCTCCTTGGGAGTCAGCAAAGGAGGCCAAGGGTGGGGCAACATGGCGGCGCGGCTGCTCGCGGACGGCTGCCCCAAGGAGTACGCGGCCGCAGTCGAGAAGGTCCTGCACGCCCGCCAGTGCTCCATCCTGCGCGCGCTGCGGCTTGCGCACGACGAGGTCGAGTCGCTGCTGCGGCGCGGCGTCGCGGAGCCGCTGTCGCACGAGGAGCTGCTCGCGCATCCGGCGGTCGCGGCCCTGCACGGGACGCTGGCGAAGCTCGATGGGCTCGAGGCGAGCGGCTCGCTATACGGCATGTTCGCGGGCCGCTTCGACCGCGACGAAGGCGGGCTGGTGCTGGCGCAGCGCGCCGCCGCCGTCGCGCTGCAGTGGCAGCTCCGCGCGGCGGCGCTCGAGGCGCTCGTCTGCGAGGCGCAGCAGCCGGTGGACGGCGCCGCGGCAGCGCTCACGGCGCTGCGCGAGCTGCTCTCCTTGGGCGGCAACATGGCGGCGCGGCTGCTCGCGGACGGCTGCCCCAAGGAGTACGCGGCCGCAGTCGAGAAGGTCCTGCACGCCCGCCAGGGGTCCATCCTGCGCGCGCTGCGGCTGGCGCACGACGAGGTCGAGTCGCTGCTGCGGCGCGGCGTCGCGGAGCCGCTGTCGCGCGAGGCGCTGCTCGCGCATCCGGCGGTCACGGCACTGCACGGGACGCTGACCAAGCTCGACGACCTCGAGGCGAGCCGCTCGCTGTACGGCATGTTTGCCGGGCGGTACGACCGCGACGCAGAGGCTTCCGCCGCCTCCGACGCGCCGCCCGACGCGCCGCCCGCCGCGCCGCCAGCCGCGCCGCCAGCCGCTGCGGGCCGCGTGCCCCGGCCTCGTGACGGCGAGATGCCCAAGCTCGCCTCCACCAGCGACGCTGCCACCGCCGCCGAGCCGCCGCTCGAGGCCCTCGACGCGCCGCCCGACGCGCCGCCCGCCGCGCCGCCAGCCGCGCCGCCAGCCGCTGCGGGCCGCGTGCCCCGGCCTCGCGACGGCGAGATGCCCAAGCTCGCCTCGAGCAGCGACGCTGCCCCCGCCGCCGAGGTGCCGTTCGAGGCGCCGTCTGAGGAGGACCCAGACGACGCGCAGCTGCAGCTCGAGCTCGAGCAGCTCGACGAGATCGGGATTGGCACCTGGAATGGACCAGTCTGCCGCGAGCGGCTCCGGCTGGCTGTGCTCGCCGCGCGGCTCGAGGCGCTGCACGCCAACCCGGGCCGCTGGGCGCGGCTGCTCAAGCGGCTCTCGAGCGGCTACGCAATGCGGCGTGGGCTCGACGAGGCCAAGAAGGAGCTCCAGCGGCGCATCGCGTCGCACACGAGGAAGCGGACGACCACGCTCGACCCGGCGGCGCACGCGCACATTTGCAAGACAATGCTGGCGGAGCTCTCAGCGCCGATGCGGCGCGAGTCGGAGGCGCCCTTCGACGGCGTCGAGCTGCTCGCCTGCCTCGAGAGCGGCGCGGCGTCGTCCGCCGCGGGCAAGGAGCTGCTGCTCAACCTCGCGCCGTTGCAGGCGGCGCTCGAGAAGAAGGGCAGCGTGCGCAAGCGCGTCGAGGCGGACCCCGACGTCGACGGGTCCGGTCTGGACCCGTCGCTCGACCGCTTCGTCGCAAAGCTCGCGGCCGCGCTGGCCGGCCACCTCGAGCTGGTGATCAACGGCAAGGCGGTCGACCCGACCTACGTCGAGTTCTACCTGTCCAAGGACGGCGGCTCGACGGGCGCTCTCGCCGCCGTGCACCTCCTGGTTGGACACGCTTTTGTCCATGTCCTCTTCGTGTGAATAGGTGCGCGGCGTCTCCCTTCTCGAGACGCCGCAGACGGTGCTCCGCTGCTCACCCACCTCGGGCCCGTGAATAGGTGAGCGGGCGGCGTCGCACTTGGGATGTCCGTGACACGTCCAGGACGCTTCCGAGAAGTGTCCTGTAGGCGGCTGGCCGGCCATCTTTGCGCTGCTCGACGCGCTCTGCCGCCTCCACGGCCGGCGCATGCTGGTCTTCACGCGCTGGTACCCGGGCGGCAGCTTTACGCTCTGCATCCATGTGATGGCGCCCGACTTCAAGTCGTCGACGCAGCTGCTGATCGGCGCCGCCATCGGCACCGACGGCAAGCCGTTGCCGCTGCCTTCGCTCGTCGCCTACACGGTCTGCACGCAGCTGTTCGGCTGCTCGCCGTACGCGCTCGCGGCGTGGCCGCGGAGGCGGCCACGCCGCCTCATCTTCATCGACGCGCCCGACTCGATCGTCGGCTTCCGGCTCTCGCCTGTGCAGGCCTGCTACGTGACGCCGGTTGAGCGCAACGCGCTCGGCGAGGGCCCCGACGGCGAGGTTGGCGCGATGTGACCGGCGTTATTTCACACGTCTCGCTGTGAATAGGTGACCCCGTGACGTGTGCCGCGGTGCGTTGTCATCGGCGTCTCTTCACACGTTCACATGTAAACAGGCGAGCTGCCTCTTTCCACAGGAGCGCGTGAACGGCGTCTCTTCACACCTCTCGCTGGGAGTAGGCGAGTGGTCCTTGGGCCATCCGCACGTCGTTATTGCGCTTCTTCACACGGTCGAGTTGCGAATAGGCGATCGCGGCCCCTGCGAGGCCGTCGCGACGTGAACATCTCTTCACGCCGCCGCCTGTGAAACTAGGCGGCCCGCGCAAGGCCACGGCCGAGCAGGGCGAGGACAGGCGCATGCTCTCCCTCATTGGCTACATCCTCCACCGCGCCGGCGTCCAGTGCGTCGCAATGCTCGGCGACCGCTTCTTCGAGTCGGCCCGCTTCCTGCAGTGGCACCAGGCGGAGACTGGCGGTGGCACTTGGTGAGCGTACGCTCACTCGCTCCTTTGGCCTCTTAGGTTTGACGAATGGTCCAAGCAGCCGGCGGGCGCCATTCGCAACGTGCGCGCGACCTTCGAGCACGACGCGCTCCACCCGCCGCTCCCCGGCGACGACGACGGCAGCGGGCTCACAGAGCTCGACGCGACAGCGCTGATGCGGCGGCTGCAGCCCAAGCGCCACGGCATCGCCGACCCGTCGCGGCCGCGGGATCCCAAGTTTGAGGCGCGGCTCGACGCGGCGGTCGACCAGCTGCGCCTCGAGGCGCAGCGGGCGTCCGCCGCCGCCGCCGAGCCCGCCGCCGGCCGGGCGGGTTCCTCCTTCGCCAGCGTGGCAAAGCTGCGGGAAACGCGCGGGGCGGCGCGTGCACGGGCGCCGTCGCCGAAGGCGGGCTCCTCCCAGCCAGACTCGCAGCGCGCCCGCCGGTCGGCGGCGCGCGGCCCCTGAGCTTCGGGCGTGGCGAGGGAAGGGGGGGGTGGCGCTGCGAGCCGGCGCCGCACTGCACTCTCAATACTTATCACACTACTGTTGCTGCCGCCCTCCGCACATATGGCGGCCGTGGTCTATGTTCTCTTGCATGTCATGTGTCTCTGCCTGCACCTCGCGCGTGCACGCCGTGAGACTCTGTCGCTGCACTGCTCGGCAGCGGCGGCGGCGGGGGGGGGGGGGGGGAAGCTTTTCTCTTTTTGTTTTGTCGGGTGTTGCCCGTTAACTTATAGTCTATACACATCTCACATTCCAAAATTCATTAATAGCGCCTCGGGAGACAGCCCCTTCCAGTTCAGTGGCCCCCGCCTCCTCGTCACAACCGGCTCGCGGCACAACGGGCACACCTCCAAGGAGGCCAACGCACCGTCACGGCCGCTCTGCGGCCGGCTGCGCTCCCCGTCCACCTTTGCAACCCAATCATCCACGCAGCGTGCGCACAGCCAGTGCCGACACGGGTGCAGCTGCGCCCACTCGCGGCAGGAGCGCACCTCGCGCAAGCAAACCTGGCACCCCTCGGCCGCCGGGTCCTGCAGCGCGGCCATCTTGCCGTCCGCCACGAGCTCACCCACGGGCCCGACCAGCGCGTCGCACGCCGCCTTTGCCAGGCTGAACGGCCCGGCGTCGTCGCGGGCAATGTGCTCCTCGCGCGAGAGCCCATTCTCGTGCGCGACAAACTCGCATAACGCCGCAAAGCCCCTCTGCCGCTCCTCGGGCCGGACCAGCCACCGCAGCCACGCCACCGCCATCTCCCGCCGCCCGCGGGGCCACGCGTCGTACAGCTCCACGAGCCAGCGCTGCCAGACCGCCGCCTCCTCCTCCTTCAGGTTCGAGTTCGTGATCTCGTTCAGAAAGTCGACCAGCGCCGCCTCGGCGCCGTGCAAGCGCTCGTACATGTTCGCGTGCGCGCTGTAGTGGCCCACAACCACGAGCCTGTCCTCTCCCGCCGCGGGCTCATCCTCGCACAGTCCCGCCTCGCGCAGCAGCTCCCTCCACTTGTCGATCGCCGCGACGCCCGTCCTCGACGTGAAGACGAGATGGTTGAGCCGGTCCGCGCCCTCGCCGCACGAGAGCGCCCGCCCGAGCTCGACCGTGGTCGGGTGTCCATTGCCCTGTCCGCCCATCAGTGGGGTGTGCACCAGACCAGCCGCGCTCACGGTGAGCGAGCACATGCGCAGCTCCTCCTCGCCGTCTGCGTTGGAGAGGTACCACGGCATGGTCTGCGGCTCGCTCCGTATCTCGGAGCCGTCGACGAGGGTCATCAAGTCGAGCCGCCACTCCCGCGCCGGGTCGAGCCGCCACTCCGTACAGGAGAGTGGCGTGGGCGGCGCCGGGGTCACCTTGACGATGCGCGCGGGCGAGTAGAGCGGCTCTCCGGCGCGGAGCACCGCCGCCTGGCGGCGAACTATAAAGCCCTCGAGCAACGTCTCCGGACGAGAGAGGTCCAGATTCAAGCCGAACGCCTCGGCCGCGTCGCGCAACAGCACCTGGCCGTCCGGCGAGAGGAGCGCCGCAACCTCCTCCGCCGTGAGCACCTGTGGCCCGCCGCCGCCGAACCCGCCGGAGGCTTGCGCCTGCGCCGCCTCCAACAAGTGGCCGTCAGCGCGCGACGGGCGACCGACGTCGGGGATGATCCACTGCTCGGTGTCCACGCGCGGGTAGACGTACGAGCCGCCTTCGAGGAGCTGCACCTGGTAGTGCGCGCCCAGCGCCGCTGAGTTGGCCGGTCTAACCTGCGTCACCCGGCCAGCCTTGAACTCGTCGTGGAGCTTGGCCCTGCACAGCACACGCTCGCCGGGGCGGAAGCGGAGCAGGCTCAGGCCGGCCATGCCCTCGGCGATTCCCTTGTCACGCGATTCTGCCGCCGCCGCCCAGATGTACATCTCCCTCGCGTACGCGTCCCTCCACTCCGCCACGCGCCTCTCCCGCGATTCGTGCGTAGGAGGAGGCAGCGGCGTCTGCGGGCGGAGCTGCGCGACCACCGCCATCGTGCTCGCCCCGCCGCGCCACCACCGCCGCGGGAGAGTGCCCGCGGCGTCCAGAGCCGCCTCGCCGCTCGAGACGCCGGACCCGTCGGGGCTGCGCTCAGCACCTCTCAAGATGTCGGCCACACGCGCGTGTCCGGAGAGGTTGGCGACCGCCAGTGCGGTGTGGCCGTCGAGGTCCTCGAGACTGGCGTCCGCGCGGTACTGCAGCAGCACGTCAACAACCTGCTCGTGGCCGGCGGCGGCAGCGGCCATCAGCGCGGTCCGTCCTCTGCCATCCTTCATGTCGACGCTTGCGCCGTTCCGAAGCAGCACGAGGGCTGTCAGCACGTGGCCGATCGCGGCGGCGCACATCAGCGGGGTCGACCCCTCGCAGTCCTGCCGGTTTACGTCGCAGTCCGAGCCGGCGCCCCGCAGCAGCGCGTCGACAGCCTGATCGTGGCCGCTGTGGGCGGCGACCATGAGCGCGGTGAAGCCGTCGTTGTCCGCAAGGTCTCTCTCCTTGCAAATGAGGAGCAGCGCGTCGAGGGCACGCCCTTCGTGGTGGGCGGCGGCGAGCATCAGTGCGGTGAGGCCGGCTGCGGACTGATGGTTGACCTCCGCGCCGTGCTGGTACAGCAGCCATATGAGCTCGACACGGCCGTGCGAGGCGGCGTACATCAGCGCAGTCTTGCCCTCGTGGTCTTGCAGGTGCGGCGCGGCGCCGTGGGCCAGCAGCGCAGCGGCAACGGCGTGCTGGCCCTCCATGGCGGCGCTCATCAAGGCGGTGAGGCCGCACCTGTTCTGCCTGTCCACCGCTGCACCGCGGCGCAGCGCCTTTTCGACGAGCCGCGTGTACCCGCGCTCCGCCGCAGCCATGAGGACGGTCGAGCCGAGCACATCTCCAATGGGCGCGTCGACGTCCCCGTCGGCGGCGGCTAGCCACTCGTGCGCCGCCTCCTCCCAGCTGGGCAGCTGTAAGGCAGGAGGAGCGCGAGGGCGCATATCTCGAGTTTCCGGAAAAAAACAAACTCCGTCTTACGACACTGGGCACGGGACTGGCTGAGTAAAGAGACGAAACCTCTCAGCAGCAAAAGGCGGTCGCACAACACGATTCACGCGACAGGCAAGAAGAAGAAGATCTGTCTCAGGCAAGGCGCGGGCGACGGCTTCCTCGGGGGCGACGGCGAGAGAAAAGAAAGGAAAGCTAAAGAGACGCGACCGCACAGGGGCAACGGCAAGACCCCCTGCTGGGGGTTCGGCCCTCTCACTGAAAACCCCGTGCGGATCGAGTGAGTCATCGCACCACCACCCTTGGCAGGACACAGCCGCGCCAGACGTCCGCCAGCTCTGGAGCCGCTCCCTCGCGGCTGTCGAAGCGCTCCTCGTCCCAAGCGACCAGGTAGCCCAGCCGCATCACCTCGACCGCCCGCTTGCGAGCCGCCTCCGGGAAGAGCTCGTGGGACTGCGGCGACCACTCCGCCGCCTTGAGGACCAGCCTGCCCACCTCCACCGCCTCGGCCGCTGGCTGCAGGTTGGCCGGCCTGAGGGAGGGCAGAGGCGTGTCACAGAGAGGATCCGGCGAGTCTAGGAGAGGCCATTGCAGTGCGCGCCTCAGTGCGAGTGCCTTGGCCTCGCCCGCCACGCGCACGCCGAAGCGGGCCGTCGAAGCGTTGGAGGAGACGACGACGCCGACCTTGCCGTTCATCGAGGGCCGCGAGACGAGAGAGCGGATCTCGACTGTGGAACCGACGGCCGCAGCGGTCGGATCCGACTCGCCCCACGAGCAGAGGACGCGCGCCCGCTCGAGGGAAGAAGGCGCGCCGGCGAGCGGGTCAGCGCCGCCGCGCAGCAGCGCCCGCGCCCGCTCGACGGTGAGCGCCTGCGGAAGAGGGGCAATGGGCGTGAGGACAACGCGCTCACGCCTTCGGCCGCTAGTCTCGGGCACGCCTCGAGATGCTGGAGCGGCGTCCAGCCGCGGCTGGCGACCAGCCAGGCGGCGAGGTCGGCGTGGCCTCCTTCGATTGCAACCTCCTCGGGCGTGCCGAAGGGCGTATCGTCGCGGGAGGCGCCGTAGGAGGAGAGGAGCTTGGCGACCTCGAGGTGGCCGTCCTCGCACGCCGCGAACAGCGGCGTGGCGCCTTGCTCATCGGCCTGGTCGATCGCCGCGCCATCCTCGAGGAGCAGCCGGACGCACTCGAGCTGGCCCTCCTGGCTCGCCATGAGCAGCGGCGTGACGCCGTCGTTCATCGCTTGGTTGATGTCAGCGCCAGCGCCGCGCAGCAGCTGGGCGCACTCAAGGTGGCCCTGCTGGCACGCGATGAGCAGCGGCGTGGCGCCGCCGTTCATCGCTTGGTTGACCGCTGCGCCAGCCTCGAGGAGCAGCCGGACGATCTCGACGTGGCCCTTGTAGCACGCAATGCACAGCGGCGTGACGCCATTCTCCTTGGCTTGGTTGACCGCCGCGCTCGCCTCGAGAAGCAGCCGGACGCACTGCTTATGGCCCTGCAGGCTCGCGACGTACAGCGGCGTGCAGCCTTCAGCGTCTGCGTGATCGGTCGCCGCGCCAGCCTCGCGGAGCAGCCGGGCGCACTCAATCTGCCCCTCCTGGCACGCGATATACAGCGCGGAAGCGCCGCGGCCAGTCGTCGCCCCGACGCTCGCGCCGCCCTCGAGCAGCAGCCGCGCCGCCTCGGCCTGCCCGTGCCGAGCGGCCCAGGTGAGCAGCGTGTCCTGCTTCTCGGTGTCGTGCCGCGCGTCGAGCTGGGCCGCGAGCGACGTGCCGCGCGTCCCCTGCCCGGAGAGGAAGGCGCGCAGCCAGGCCAGGTCGCCCCGAGCCAGGTCGGCGAGCTGGGTTGGGATGGCGCCGCTCATGCCGCTCATGCCAGAAAGAAGAAAAACATTTGGAAAGCGGGAAAGGTTCAACTTATATGTTCCACTACCGTACCCCCTGTCGGGGTTCACCCTCGGGTTTCTTGCCGTCGTCCCTGGGCAGCTGGGGCGGGGTACCCAAGGGTGAACTGTCGGGGTTATGGGGTTTACGAGGTGTGAACGTGAACAGAGTAGCGGCGCCCCTCACGGCACCACACTGACGCCGGACAGCCCGAGATTAGCCTAGCAGTGAGTGGGAATCGCCTGCCGGTCGGCTTGGCACGAGCCAAGCACTTGGGTGGCCGTCAACCGAGTCCGAGCGGCGCCTGAGGTAGGTGGGTGCCACGGCGTCCGCACGAAGGCGTGGCGGGGTGAGGAGCCAGGAGTGGTGAATACCTCCCTGACGGGCGCGCGGCGCGCCGGATGGTCCGCCGAGGCCGCCGCCGCCCCGGCGGCGGCGATGGGGGCGGCGGGGCCGACCCGGCCGGCGTTTGTCGGCTCCACCTACAGAAGAGCAGTCTCTCTGGGTCGACGATACTAACTCGGTAGTAACGCTGAGCGGTGCTGTGCGACGCCGCGTCGTGCGCGAGGCGACCTCCTGAGGCCACCTGAGCTGGCTATGGATGCCACCAGGACGCACGGCTAGCAGGAGCCAGTCAGGCATGCCCTGCTGTGGAGCAGAGCCGGCTGGCGCACGACCGATACTAATAACTCAGCGCGCCGCGAGAGGCGAATCTGGGCGACTTTGGAGGCGCAGTTCTCGAGGTTGCCGTCGACGATTGATGTCGGGTAACTTGTCACTGCCGTCCGGGAAGGTCTTCTCTCAGCAGGCAGGCCGAGCGCCGTGGCCTGGCTCGGCTCGCCGCGAGTCGCGCGAATTTATCAGTGCCAAAACTCACGAGACCTCGATACTA